GTGTCTGTCCCAGGCTTTCTGAGTTAATTGTTATTTTGTCAACTGCGTAAATTCCACCTTCTGCTGGTGATAACACCGCGTGTGTTATGGTCAGTTCAGTTGGTGCATTTAAGGCAATAATTGGCTATTTTAATCTCACCTCTCTCTCATCTATACTTCCAACATTTTGGCAGTTTGTCAGCTGCTCTATCAAACAAAACAAGATTTTGGAATTTATTTTATGCCATGCATAAAGCCCATGGATCTTCAAACCTCCTCTTTTCTTAACTCAGAGTAAATGCAATTTTAACAGAGGCAGCGTGCATCAAAGAGAACTGTAAGAAGATAATCACAGGAAGCTACAGAAGTCCTGCAAGGTTGTTTTGAGCTGGGATATACTGTGCCTGCCACTTAAAGATGAAATCAATGCAATGACTCTGTGAATGGCTTCATAATTTTCTGTGAACCATTCTAACCAAATTCCAAAAAAGTAAACAAAAAACAATCCACTGGACTTTGTTTCCAAGTTTGAAGACGTTTCGCTTCCCATCCAGGAAGCTCTTTCAATTCGATTTAAATTTTTTGGAATTTCGACTTTGAATTGAAAAAGTTTCCTGGATGGAAAGCTTCTGAAGGAACTGCAAAACAAGAAAAAGGAGCATTCATGAGAGGGACGCAAGGAACTGTTGAGCAATACTCAAAGGCATCTTAAAGTCAAGACAAGAGAGAGCAAAGAGGCATACAGGGAAAAAGCTAGAAAGCCAGCCTAGGAGAACAATATTAGAGGTGTGGCCAGGGAGCTTCAAACCAAAAGAGGATCAGACAGATGGTAGCCTGGACAGAGCTAATGAACTCAACACATTCTTTAGAAGCAAAAAAGTAAGCAAAATTCTGTCCTTCCCATAGTCAAACAAACAGCCTACCTTTCTTTGACCCAACACTTCCTTCTTACATCTAATTTGTTTTATTTTGCACCTCTGCCATGGATCCTCCATTTTTCCGTTTGTCCTTAAATATTTCAGAAGATGGTGTTGCTCCCCTTGCCTTCCCCTTTAACTTATCTATCTAGAAATCAAGTGAAGAGGCTCCATGTTTAGATGGTGTCAGCCCCA